CAACCCTCTCCAAGGCATTTTACCTGTATTTGTTATTCCTGCACTCTAATGACCCAAAGTATTTTCCTCGTTAGCTTTTCCATCCTCCCAGTTAATTACAACTTAACAACAAAAGTTTTCCCTTAAGCCGAGTGTCCATAAAGAATAAAAATTTTACATAAATTCACTCCTCTCCCAGAACCAAGACCAAGAGAACGCTGAAAAGCAGTTATTACATTTGAGTATTTTTTGCCACCCTCATGATTTGATATCGTCAAGTTGTGGACTGTTTTTCTTTTTGAACATTAATTCAGGCCATTTTGTTATCTCCAAAGACAAAACTGAAGTAACCGTGATAGCCCATTTACTTAGATGAAACCATCAGCAGACTGCACAGATGAAGGATACTTAGCCTCATTTTAAAACATAATTACAAACAAGTATACCGAACCCTGCCTGGGATAAACAGGTCGACAGCAAGTGCCCGGTAAAGGGAACTAAATTAAGTTCTCAGTTTTCAGTTCCCTCAGGAGCCTTTGGCTCCCAAAAGCCGTCCTTAACTGATTTGTTTCAATTTCAATGGGAAAACAAAGAACTTTGCTGTAAAATCAGCAGTAAATGTTTCTGATCAGATACTCACTTCTTCACCAAAATCTGAATAGGCTCAACATTAAGTTACCCGCAAAGGGCTTTTTACTTTTTAGTCCGTAAGTCAATGAAGAAAAATAATCCTGAGCAAGACTGAAGCCTTACTGAACATTATAGCTTTTCCCCCCTCCATCCAGTCCCGTCCCATCAATTTTCCCCTGCTTTTATTCTGCACACCCAAGACAGTTGTATTAGTTGCATAAAACAGGTCTTCACGGCATAGAAATAATTCTAATTTCTTACAAAAATTCATTTGAATCCAAATTATTTTGGCTCTGTAATGTCAATACATAACGAAGCTCTGTAACTGTCCACCGTGAACGAGATCTTGTACACAGTATTTCATGCTCCTCAAAACCACCTCTTTACGTAAGTCCAACTACCTCACCTCTTTTCTCTCAACCACCAGTCACCCATTCCACGGGAACTACCCAAGTTTTTGCAAAAAAACTACAGGCCTCTCACTGCCATGATAGCACATACGCTGCCCATCAATAAAGGTGGTTTTAAAAAAAACCAAAAACCAAAGCATATAATAATTTGATATTGTTTTCTTACTAACAACTGTTACCCTATTAGACCCATGAGAAGAGATGCCAAGAAAAGTTTGGTTTTACTCTTTCTAGATAATGTCACTGTTAGGGGTGCAATTTACAGAACCATGGGTTTTGACTTCACCATATAGACACCACAAATAAATAAATAAATCTTTTTCAAAACATATTACAGGCAAGACATTCTTGGGAGACGGAACTCCAATTTCTTTTTCAAGAAAGCTTAGGATTCTCATTTTTACTTCGTTCCACATAGTCTGAGGCCCGCGTTTATCGCGAGCTGCTGGAGCTGGCGAAGCCGCACAGAGGCATCAACCACCTCCACTAGCAAACCGTAAGAGTTCTGTAACTTGCAAAACTTTTGCCTTTCCTTAAGAATAACGGTAAATTAAGTGATGGCAAGAGGCGGACGGGGGGAAGAATGCATGTCTTTAGCTTTTTACACGTATCCAACGCTCGCTCGAAGATGTCACGCCGCGCTCTGATGCTGCTGGATGCGCCGGTTCGGGAGGGCAACGCG